GGAGAGGAGGTGAGGGGCCACCGTGGGGCCCTGACTCGCCTTGCTGGGCTCTCCATGTCGCTGCTGTTTGCAGTCTGGGAAATGTGGGTTACCAGGTGGGGACCCTTTGTGACAGTGGCACTGCCAAATGTTTTCCCCTCAGGAGGTCAGACGTGAATATCCCCTGTCCCTGGGGCCTTGGGGCCCGTGACACGTGCGCTGCTATGCAGCCTCGGAGCCGTGAGCGTGCGTGTGCGCCTGCGTGCCGTGTGTCTGCGGACGTGTGTCCCTGCATGCGTGTGTTGTAGCCGTGCCTGGGAGCCTGACCTCAGAGGGTGTTCCGGGAGGGCGGCACAGTACTGGCGGGAGTCACAGGTGGGTGTGGTGCGCCCATTCCCCGTGCGTCCTCTGGATGTTCTAAGAGGGGCTGCACAGTCCTGGCAGGAGGTGGCGCAGGTGGGCGAGGCATGTTTACCCTGGGTGTTCTGGGGAAGGGCTGCACAGCCCCCATGCCCGCTCCCCGTGCTTCCCCTGGGCGGGGCAGTTTCTGGCAGGCGGGTACCAGGCACAGTGGGAGCCTCCGTGTGGATTCTCCTGTGCTCCTTTCAGCTCTGGGGCCTGCCCTTCTGTTTTGAAGGAAGGAGTGGCGGGGGCCAGAGGTAACGGCCCCTGAGGCCCTGCTGGCTCCGTCTTACCTAATCCTCTTCTCTGGGTGGCTGCCCTGAGATTGCTGAGGACACCCGCAAGCCGTCCTCACAGAGCCCGAGTGGGGCCTCCTGGACAGAGCCCGCCTGCCCCTGTGGGCTTTGGGATTTGGTTTCCTCAGCAGCTCACCGGATATCTCGGGTCGGGGTATCGGGCAGGACGCTGCCCTGGAGACCTGCAGTCTGGAAGTTGGGACAGCCATGCCCACGGTCCTCTGAAGGAGCGGCCCTTCAGGCTTAAACTCCTGGCTGTTCTGCCCAGTTTCATGGGTTTTGTGTTTTAAGCTACGTGTGGTTCCTCATTTGTGGCATCAGAAGCCAGTGTGGCTGCTGGGAGGGTGGGAGTCGGGGGGACATCCACGGTGGCTCCCACGGTCTTTCTCATGTGCTGCCCTTTGGCAGCCCAACACTGTCACTCTCCCACAAGCTGAAAGGAAGCAGCTTCCCCCCAGCCCTGGCCGGGTGTCCTGTGGGCGAGGCCTTCCCCAGGGCTCACTAACGAGGCCCCACGCCCGCTCTCCCCGCAGCTGGCTTTGTGCGGGCGCCACTGTCCCAGCAGAGGCGGGTGGGGGGCCGTGTGGAGCTGCACTGTGAGGCTGTGGGCAGCCCAGTGCCGGAGATCCAGTGGTGGTTCGAGGGGCACGGGCCCAACGACACCTGCTCCCAGCTCTGGGATGGCGCCCGGCTGGACCGCGTCCACATCCACGCCACCTACCGCCAGCACGCAGCCAGCTCCATCTCCGTCGACACGCTCGCAGAGGAGGATTCGGGCACCTACGAGTGCCGGGCCAGCAACGACCCGGACCGCAACCACCTGACGCGGGCGCCCAGGGTCAAGTGGGTCCGCGCCCAGGCGGTGGTGCTAGTGCTGGAACGTGAGTGGCGGGCGCCTCCCTCCCCGCCTCCCTCGGTTCCCTCCTGTGCCGCTCGCCCCCGGCTCCTGCTGGTAGAACCCAGACGCCTCCTGCCCCTCTCTGCCCTGCTGGGCCCACCGCTGGGACAGAGGGGCCCGGACCTGAAGGGGTGGGCTCGCCCTTGACTGCCAGTCCTGGGCAGCCTGGCTCGGGGCGGGCAGAGCTCTGCCCTCCAGCAGGTGGGTCCTTGTCCTCCCTCCACCCTGTGCTGTCTGTGCCGCCGTCCCTCTCTGCTCCCCCGGGCACCTGCCTGGCTCCTTCCCTGAGCCTCCGTCCACACTGCCAACCTGAGGGGCCCTCCAGCCTCGGTCCAGGCTTGCTGCCCTCAGAACCTTCTGTGTCCTGCTCAGCGTCTCGTCTTAAGGGATTTTCACATTCAGTTCCTAACCGGAACATTGTAAATTAACCAAGAGATTTGCTCGGTGGGGATTGGCAGGAGAACCGGGGTGCTCCCAGCGCTGCTGCAGTGCCGTCAGCCTGGAATCAGGGGTGTGGATGGGGTCACCTGGGTCCCTCCTAGGAAGGGGCCTGGGAGCCCCATCCAGGGGGCAGGTCTCCACCAGCTCTGAGGGGCCATCGAAGGAGGCAGCCTTGGCCAGGGGGCGATGTAGCTGTTTTTTCGGACAGGAATTTCCAGTTTGTGCCAGGGCTGCTCAAGAGCTCTGTGCCCTGGTCCCTGCTCAGGGACAGGGCGGGTGCCTTGTCTGTCCCTACACCTGATGCCCAGCCTCCTGTGTCTCTGGACAGGAGCCTCACCAGGTGGGGCCGCTGGGTTACCAGCGCCTTAGCCCAGGGCCCATCAGCTGCCAGCAAAAGCACCTTCCGGAGGTGCAGCCAGACATTCCCCTTGGGGTGTCAGGGCCACGGTGTAGTTTCAGAGCCGAAAACAAGTCGTTGAGGGAGGAGCTGCGTGTTCCTGGTGTCAGGCAGGCAGCGCGGGCTGTGCTCCCCCGCTCTGTGCTGACTGTGTCTCCCGGGCCTCGCAGCTGGGGCAGTCTTCACTTCCGTAGGAAACATCGGCTCCAAGACGCTCCTCACCTGCTCCTTGAATGACAGCACCACAGAGGTCACCGGGCACCGCTGGCTGAAAGGGGATGTGGTGCTGCAGGAGGATTCGCAGCCCGGACAGAAGATGAACTTGGAGTGAGTGCCGGACCCCGTGATGCCGCTGCGTGGCCTTCTCACAGCTCTCTTGCTGCCAGCGGCCTCTGTGGGCCATGAGAACAGGCTTGATCCAGGCGGAAGTTAGGGATCTGCTCAGACCCCCCCAGAGAGAAGCCCAGGGAGGGTCCTGAGGGGCACTCCTGGGAGCTAGGCTGTTGCTCCCTCGCCAGGTCCCTGGCGCGTGTACAACTCCTGGGCGCGTGCTTCTGACACGAGAAAGCGCCACCCTGGGCCCTGCCCTGTGCGTACCCCAGACGCCAGCCACCGTGGCCGGAGCCTCATCATAACTGGGCTGGGGCGGCCCTGGGAGCACAGAGCCTTTTGTTTTTCGGCTCGCTGGGAAGATGGTCACAGGGTGTGGGGTGCAGAGTAGGGACCAGAGGTGTGGGTGCATCGGTCCAGGGGTGGGGCTGTCTGTTGGTTTTCACACCGCTTCCCGTGGGGTCTTGCCAGCCTGGCTCTCCCTGGGCCTGTGGGCGACCAGGGCTTGTGCTGAGGTTCAGACTTGCTTTTTCACTGGACCCTGGGTCCTGGGAGGCGTCCTGCAGAGCCGGTGCGTGGCTCACCCGCCTGCTGTGCTTGCAGGGTGGACCCCGATGACCGCTGGGGAGAGTACTCCTGCGTCTTCCTCCCTGAGCCCACGGGCAGGGCCAGCATCCCACTCCGAGGTGAGTCTGAGGCCAGGGCTGCTGGGCACGGCCGACTGTCCACCGCCCGGGGAAGCTGGAGGGGAACGGCCTCTCCTGTGGGTTCCAGGCTCCTCTCTCACCCTCCTGTCAGGGCCCCCCCGAGTGAAGGCTGTGAAGTCGTCAGAACACATCAACGAGGGCGAGACGGCCGTGCTGGTCTGTGAGTCCAAGTCTGCGCCTCCCGTCACCGACTGGGTGTGGTACAGGATCACTGACGCCGGGGACCAGGTGAGGGGCTGAGGGGCCGGCGCTGGGGGACCAGGTGAGGGGCCGGCGCTGGGGGACCAGGTCTCAGCCTCTCTGTCCTCGATCCCCTCAGGTCATCATGAACGGCTCGCAGAGCAGGTTCTTCGTGAACTCCTCGCAGGGCCGGTCCGAGCTGCACATCAAGAACCTGGACATGGAGGCCGACCCCGGCAAGTACGCCTGCAACGGCACCAGCTCCGAGGGCACCGACCAAGCCGTCATCACGCTGCGCGTGCGCAGCCACCTGGCCGCCCTCTGGCCCTTCCTGGGCATCGTGGCTGAGGTGCTGGTGCTGGTCACCGTCATCTTCATCTACGAGAAGCGCCGGAAGCCCGACGATGTCCTGGATGGTGAGCCTGAGCCCCCTGCCCACACATCCTGCCCTTGGGGCCACTCCTGGTCAGTCCCTGGAGCTCCACTGCTGACCCAGAGCTTGGGACCAAGGAGCCCCAGGCAGGGAGTTCCTGGGACCCTGAAGGAAAGTGTGGGGTGGAGGGTCCGTCCCGGGGCGGCTGCGGCTCAGCGGGCAGCGGGCTTGGACCCGGGAGGAGGGAGAGGCGGCAGCTCTGCTCCGCAGCCTCACCCGGCCCTTCTCTCCCTCACTTGGCTGCAAGTTGGCGTCCTCCATGGTAAGCTGGCCCTTGCTGCTCCGCTGGACCTCCAGGCAGCTGCCAAGAGCCCACGGCTGTGGCACCAGGGAGCCCTGGCCTCTGCATGATGGGGCTTGGGAACCCGAGGTCAGCCCTGGGTTCCGGCAGCCCCTGCCTGCTGCCCCGCGCAGCTGTTGTGCCTCTCGGGCTGCATGTGCTGGGGCAAGGCCTGTGTGGGGCCTGTGGCCGGGACTCCTGGAAAGCGCTGCAGGGTAGGGGTGAGGCCCCCGCGAGGGGCTGGGACAGCTCTCTGTGGGGAGGGGCTCAGAAGACCCAGAAGATACGCTTGGCCGAGGCTGATGAGCTGCCCGGAGCCACCCCTGGGGACACCGAGGGCGGGGCCCGCAGCACAGCTGCCCGAGTGGGGCCAGCGCTGACAGGCTGTCCCCTTGTCTTCTTTTTCATGGTGGCCGTCCCTCTTCAGATGACGACGCAGGCTCCGCACCCCTGTAAGTCCTGGCTGTGGGGCTCGGGGGTCCTAAAGAGCCGCTGCCTGCTGCCCCAGGCCTTTAAAACACAAAGGCAGACCCCCCAGGCTTCCGTGCTCAGGGGTCCAGGGGGCTGGGGTGGGCAGGGGTGACTTTCAGGGGGTGACTTGTGGGGGACACCCTCTCACCCGGCCCCTCGTGCCCCAGGAAAGGCAGCGGGAAGCCCCTGAACGACAAAGGCAAGAACATCCGCCAGAGGAACAACTCCTGAGCCAGGTGCAGTGTGCGGGGCGGGGCGGTGGGCGGGGCCAGGGCGGTGGGCAGGAGCTCCTCCCGTAGACAGCGCGTTTGGGGTAGCGGTGGGCTCCTGGGTCCCGCCTGTGGGTCGCTGGGAGGGTCCACTGTGAGCGCCCCTTCCCTGCCCCCAGGTGGCCCGAGGACACTCCCTGCTCCCATGTCTGCTGCAACTGGAGCCCACTCCCAGTGCTTGCAAGATTCCAAGTTCTCGCCTCTTAAACGAAAACCCACCTTGTAGATTCCCACCGTACGCTTCCTTCTTTTTTTTTTCTTTTTGTCCCTTGAAAAGTAGGGTTTTGTACATTCAGGACTTTGCTCTTAGGTTTTCCTCTTTAGCTGTTTCACGAGAGCCCACGGAGTTGCTGAGCTCCCGTCTGTGGCTCTTTGAGCTTCTGGGTCTGAGTCGTGGCGGGGTGGGGAGGCACCGCTTTCCCCACTGGCTCGAGTCAGTGCCAAGTCCTTGCCCTTCGCGGGGGGTCACAGGTCACCTGAGGGCCCGCGTCCTGCCTGCCTGAAGCCAGTGCTGTCTGGTCGCACCTTGCGCTTTGATGTTTCATTTCCTGAAGGCCCCAGGTCTGTGTGTGACTCAGCCTCAGGGACGACTCTGATCTCTTGGCCACAGGGGACTTGCCTGTCCACACTGACGGCGACCCCGTCCTGGCCTCAGGTGACCCCCAACCCCTCTGTGTCTGTGCGTCCCAGGGCTGGCTGTCTGGGCAGCCCTGGAGGGGGTTTGCCGGGGAGCTGGTGTCGTAGCCAGGACTCTAGAACCGCAGAAGCCCCTCCCCAGCCTGCCCCTTGGAGGGCGGCCGGCTCGTCACAGCGCCAAGAGTCACGTGGGAACCCAACTCCCACCAACCACCACAATAAAGATGCCCCACCTTCACCCTCTCCTGGCTCCTGTCTGTGCCTCTTGGGGTTGGGTCGCCCCTGCGCTCTGGTGGCCACAGCAGGGGCCCGTCTAGTGCTGGGATTTTGCAGCGAGAACGGGTCTGCTGAGATCCCACTGGGGGCTGGGGTGCTGGGGGCACTGGCTGGACAGGGCCTGAGGCCGTCAGCAGACTTGGAAGGCGGCTGGGACTTCCCCAGTGCCTGAGAGTCTCGCAGAGCGTGGGCGCTGACCAGAACCTTCCCCGAGCCTGTTTTTCTTCTCCGATGGAGGCTGAGGTTTTCTGTTGCCTGCCCTGCCCCAAAGCTGCCCGTACCCATCCTCCTGGCAGGCTGCTCCAGCAGGGTCCAGGGGTGGTCCTGGTGAGCAGGTATGTGAAGCTGGGCCTGAGGCTGAGCCGCCTGGCACCTACCCCCAGCACACAGAACAGACATGGTTGCTGGGCTGGGGGGACCAGGAGCATGGAGCGGGGAGGTCACCAAGGCACAGGGCCAGTGAGCGGGTCTGGAGGGAGGTTGGCAGATGCTGTCAGTCTGCAGCGCTGGGCCTAACTCTGGTCTGAGCGGGAGTCTCGGGGTAGAGGTCGGCAGAAGACGCTGGGGGTTCCCAGAGAAGCCGGGGGTCGGGACGGGAAGGCAGTGTGTTTCAGTGTCGGGGAAATCTGGCGTTTTAATGTCACAGAGGCCAAGAAACATGGCCCACAGCCTCAGGCTTTCCACTGCTCTGCCAAGGGTGGCAACCCCTCCCAGCGCGGATCCTGCGTGCTGGACCGGCTCCTGGAGGCGAGCAGGGGATGTGCAGGGCCGCACCCAGTCACGCTCTGGGGAGCCGCACAGCCTTGGAGGAGCGGAGGCCAGCACGGGGTCCCTGGCTGGCTTCTGCAGCCAGGCCCTCGCCGCCTGCTGCCACCAGGCGGTGCCATATGCCCACGCTGAGTGAGGCCCGCAGGTCATGGAGCCCCTCTGCCCGGGCAGGGACCTGGAGTCAGCACCACCCACTGAACGTGTGCTCAGTGACCCGGGGATAGGGATGCTCACTCTGTGTTCATTCATTAGGCACCGGTAGTATACCTGGGTCGAGGTTGTGCATGGACAACAGGCAGAAGGGTCCAGTGGGGTGGAGACGGTGCCAACAGAACGACAGGGAAGTCGCATTGGGTGGGCATCACCGGGCATGTGGCCCAGATGGGTCCCCGGCTCGGTATCCCCCCACCTCCCTGCCAGGCTCCATCCTCCCCAAGGGTCCCAGGCTCTGCCCGTCTTCCTGCTGCACCCCCGGCCCCAGGCGTGGGCCCACGGTACCTGTGGATGCCTCGTGTTCTGTACCGGATGGAGGGTGCGGGAGTTACAGGTCAGGGCAGCCTTGGGAGACAGTGGGCTTCCCGGGGTGCCAACCAGCAGGTGGGCCTGGGCCCCTGCGGGTTCATCCCCCTGAGAAAGCAGCCACTCACACCCAGGTGTTTCACCTTTGCTCTTTGCACACAAAACTATAAAAAGCACAACCACTCAGCTTGTAGCTGCCACACCAGCTCTCGGCTCTAAGTGTTCTTGTTCATACAAGCGTTTAGTGAGCGCCCGTGGCGTGCAGCCCCGTGCCCGGTGACG